TACGTTATTTGGTTTTTTTTATATTCAATATTTAAATTTATTAACATTTATTATTATATTCTACTGCTATTTAATATCGACAATGGTTACTATTATAGGAATATACTAATTAATAACATTAATTTTTTTATTTTATAGTATATTCTATATTAAGCTACATACGAGTATATAATATTGAACGTAGTGATTTGACCATGCTTTCAATCCAAAACATTATGGTTGAAGGAGCGATACCATAACTGCACTGATTGAACTATTGGTCGTGGCAAAACTCCCACCATAACTAACGGGGTATAAAAATATTACCTTAATATTTTTAGTACAACCACAAATTGAGGAAATTACAGATATAACTGAATTAACAAATTATCATTTTGTTTTTATTGTTACGTCTTCGTATTAGCCATCAGCTTAACAAAGAAATTAAAATACTTGTAAATTTTTCATTAAATTTTCATTACTTTATACCTTAATAACAATTTTACTTCAATATTTTAACTTATAGAGTTACACTTACAAAACATTATAATAAATAAATTGTATAACAGTTTTAATGTTTAATAATACAAAAATTTTATAAAATATGTAAAACATTTGTAACTAATTTCGTACTTTTCGTTTGCCATTGTATTCCTTAGTATTTTTAAGCGCAAAAAAACGTTTAACAATTTCAAATTATTTGTAGTTATATAAGAAATGAATGCAAATAATAAATTTAAGATTTCCCTTCTTTATTAATCACAACAAAAATTTTTTAATTTTATAAAGTTGACACAGAAAAAGGAGAATTTTTAACGAATTTGCTATTTTTTTCGTAATATTGTTTATTTAACGCTTTTTTACATCATCTTTTTTTTCTGCTTTTTTTGATTTAAAATCCGCGAACTGAAAGGCAGATATCATAAATCACTAAGTACTCTGTATGTGTATAAATATATTTGTCTTGTTAAAAATTAAAATGCGAGAAGTGTTAAGGCATGCACAAGGTCGGGCAAATGAATGAAAATACAAAATATATAAAATTACTTTGTTAGTAATAAAATATTTCTTTTTTTTTGCATTTGAATCGTTTTTAATCAGTTTTCTTAAATTAATTTAGTCATAATATAAATGAAGTAGTTGTAAATATACAGGAATGCTTTTAAATTCACGTTTTGTAGTGTTTTTTTAATTGGTGATTTTGTTTACTTTCTTAATAATCAAAAAGTTTATAGATTGTTAAACAATCAAACAAAATTAAAATGAGAATTTAATTTTAAACATCTTGAAATTTTATTAAGTGCAGTGATTTCTCGGTATATGTCCTTGTAATGGCTCTTGCCAAACGATGGCGGCGCATATCAAAATGTTAATAAAATATTTAAAAGCGTAGCTTGTATAAATAAAATAAAAGTATAGTTAACGATGAAGAAATATTGGACACAGTGAATATTGAATTAAATAATAATAATTAAAAAATATATGAGTTACTTAATATTCAAATTTTATTCTTAAATCTTAAATATTTTAATTTAATTTCAATAGAAATTATTCAATTTTTAAATTTAGAATTTTTAAAAAAAAGATTTTAAAATAGCAATTTTATGTATGTACATGTTAATCATGTGAAAAACTTTAACTTTAAAATTATAAACAAAACATAATTTAAATAAAAAGTATGCATTACCATTTTATTTTATGTGCTGTAGAGATAAAAAGTTTCAAGGTAAAAATTAAAAATATCAGACAATCTTATTTACATATACACACCAAGTATACAAAATATTTAAATATAAGAAATAACCGCAAATTTTAAAACTGATTAAAAGAGCTTAAAAGCTAACCAACACTTACACGCAAATATTTTTTAATATTGCATATTAAATATTGTATATTTAACTGTATAAGCGCGCAATGAAAACCAAATTTAAAATATACCCAAAATATAAAAATGAAACTGCGATAACAAACACAAACGATTCAAGCTAAAAAGAAAAAATAAAATTGTTAAAACACTTCTTTCTCAAAACTTAACCACTACCTTACCTCTAAATAAGTGTACGAGTACAGTAAAACCCATAGAAAATTTAACATAAAATTATATTCAACCAGTTGTTACAAACTTATATTGATAATCACATAATTGCTTTTATTCCTGACCACTTATTAGTTGGACGCTAATAAAATTTAAGCATAAACTAAATTATAATCGAAAATTTGTCAGGTAACTGCAATATAAACTATTAGCGAATATTTTAAAATGTAATTAGAGAATAAAATGAGAAATGACTGCAGAGTCGGAACAATATTGTTATTTAAAATGTATTACACCTACAAGAAAATATTCATATTGAATCCTGTGTTCAAGCATTCTATAAGAAATTGTTAATTAATATATCAATTCCTTTTAAAATTAATCAAATCAATGTTAATATTTGAATTAAGCATGTTTTAAAAATAACTTTCTAGAACTGCACAAATATTTGGGATCAATGACGTCATGATGAAACTCTTTTAAAATTTCTACCAAAATATTTATTTTTTAAAATAAAACATTAATATTTAAAAAATATTAGAAAAATTTCAAATTATATCACTTAATCGTACTTTAATAATGGAATTTAACAAGATTTTACTGTTCATTCGCCGAATACATTTAAATCATACTTTTTATAATGGTGTAAGCGTAAAAGAACAAAAATCCTCAATTATAAACACGCATACATAAACCAATATTAATGAATCATACTTATTAGGTCTTCATAAAATTATACGTATATAATCTTAATTCTTTGCCATTCAATCCAGGAAGTTACCCTTCATTTTTAAAAACAATCGAATTTCCGTGATGAAAAAAATTAAAACATTATAAATATAAGTTTGTGAATTTGTAAATTATTTTTGCACTTACATACATAATAAACATATACTGTATAAATGTGTATACATAAGTATGTATATTAACTATGTTTACTATGTATGTTTAAAATCTAGTGCAATTTATTTAAAAAACGAAACCTTAAATAAGCATTGTTTGCCAATTAATCGTAAGTTTTTCTTTACTTTTTTTTTTTTGGAAAACCGGTTCATAAATAGCAAATATATGAACGAAAAGAAAATGCATTTTTATTTTAATGCACAACAGCTTTTAGAGTGGTCCAGAAAAATTTAATACTTTTTAAAAAGGAATTAAGGATGTCCACGTCTCTGGCATCTGAATAGCAAATGTTTATTAGCAATTTTCATTTCCAATTTTTTATTATCTGTGAATATCAAAAAAATTTTTATTTGTAATTAAATTAATTATTTTTAATTGAATTAAAATTAGTAACATTAATAAAATTAATAATTCAAAGCGGTATTCAAGAGCTGTAAACACAATTTCTGGAATAAATTTCAAATAATGACTTTTCTAAGACTTAATAAAATAAAATGAAATTTATATATAAATTTATATATAAGATCAAATTTTTCTTTAAATCGAACACACTATAAGTTTATTAAAACCGGTCATCTTTTACCTCTTGACCACTTCAAACTCGTTTGGTATATAGGAAGAAACGATGTTATAAATTTTTATAAGCAATGTCGTTAAAAATTTCATTTAGTCTGCCAATTGTTAAGCAATTAAAACAATTTATTACAAAATATGCTATGCACACACACAAATAATTTCAAGTAACAAAATGAAAACCACATAACAATTTAAAATAAAAAAAAAAACTAAAAATTTATGCAAAATATGAAATGCACAAGATTGTGAATACAAAAAAAAAATATTTTAACTACTCTTACATATTTTTTCTATTATAGTGTTCCGTTCTATAAAACAGTTCTAAAAATTTTAATACAAAAATATTTGTATTTGAATTTAATTTTAAACATATTAGTGAAAAAATTTTTCTTAAAACAAAATGTTATTTTTGTTAGTTCAAAAATAATTACATAAAATTTAGATATTGTATGTATCCATACACACATACATAAATGCATCATAAATAGTCTTTTGATAATAATATGATTGACATTTAATAAAAATAACAGTGAAAAAAAAATGTTAAATTTTATAAAACAAAATGTCTTCAACTCCACAACAAATAGCAGCAACTACAGTGCCACGAAAACGCAGACCAAAATTACCACTTGGTGAAATTTCGATTTCATCAACATCAACTGTTCTTATTAATAATGAATCCAATAATAATTTAGAATCATTGTCAATTATTCGTGAACCAATTTACCAAAATGTATCAAATATTCAAGAAAATTCAACAATTAAATCCTCTAATAATGATTTACCTACCATTGATAATAAATTCAGATTGAGAAGAAATTATGGATTTTCTTCATTACGCAATTGTAAAGGAATGAGCCAAGAAAATTCTTTAACTAATGAAAGTCAAACTTTGGTTACATATGTTGATGGTAAGTTTAAAAAACCAAAAATATTATTTTCTGATCATGTGCTTTATATGAATTTTTAAAATTTAATTCTTCTATTAAACTGCAACTGTAACCAATTTGTTAAATGTGTTACAGATCTATAAATTTTTTTTTTGTTACAAAATTTAGCAAAAAAAAAAATAGCGTTGCCAGAAACAAAAATTTATAAAGTTAGAGCCCAATGTATAACGGGATTGGTATACACTACAATCTGCAATTAAATTTAATTAAAAATCTACTGTTTCTTAAAAACTACAATAACATTATACGTTATGTAACGTAATTTCCATTGCAATTCCATTGAAAAAAAGCGTAGTTATTCAATGATTAAACATGCATGCATGCAAATAAAAAAAATAATAAGACCAAAATTATAACTTCAATTTTATTATTGATTGCCTTTGAATTTTTAAAATACCATTTTCATATACAAACTCACATTTTTCCATTTTTCAGCTACAATAACTTTTTGCAACGTTTAGAAAGTGAAATTTTTATAAATCATTTTAACCTTCATTTTATTAACAAAAACTTTTCAACCGAAAATTCATCTTTTTTCATTCCTTATACATTCACAGATGACTCTGATCACTATTATGAGCCATTATACCCTTCAACAAATAATGGAAAAAATCAGATACCAATTGATACATCATCTGAGCATAATAAATCTGCAAGGTTAAAATATCAAAATAACCAAACGATTACAGCGCCATCAAAGAACAATAATAAAAATTATAATAATATAGCGATAATAGCTTCAAATCAGCTTTCAACTTTACCACAATCAAATCATCATCATTTATATACAGATGACTATGATTCTTTTGATTCGGATGATGAAACAGACGAAGATGTGAAAAAGGTAAAAAAAATATTACATAATAACTTTATATTAAAACGATGAAACTACGATATAAAAAAAAACCGCAATAAAATGTGTATACATAGATGTGTGTATGTATATTGAGCTTATTACACATTGTTAAAATTAAATGGAATCGTCGCGGTTAGAATTTCTTGAAAAGTGTTTTTCATTGAGCGAGGAAAAATCACTTTTGATTTCATAATTAATTTGAAAAAAAAAGCATAAAAGGTATAAAGTTATTTACAAAACAGTTATTTCATTCTTTATAACTTATAAATAGTGTAGTTTAACATTACATCCACATTAGGGTTGTCAATCGTCCCAAATTATTTTTAAGATAAGTAAAAGTACGTACTACATATGTATTAAATGTACTTTTAATTGAAAGTAGAATTGTTATAATATAACTCGCTATTACTTTCTTGGAGCAAAGGTACTTACATATTAGATATATGATATATGCACATAATGTACCTATAGAAAAAATCACAAATATCGTCGCTTAAATCAAAAGTTGATTATACGGTTTCTGTTATAACATCAACTAGATTCTTATTCTTATTCCCATTCCGATGAACAATTTCAAATATCTCGAAACCTAAGCTCTTCAGTTTAATATCTCAATTTAACTTATGTATATTGAATTCTACATTTCGAAATTAAATTATTTTAAAAATAATTAAAGAAATCATAAATAGTCAAGATAAATTCGTATATATAAATTTCAGAATGATAGCGGAGTCGATATTAGCAACAAGAAACTGCCAGATCCACCATCAACAACAAATCAAGTGTATGCTTTTGTAAAAAAATTTAAAAATTTTATTTCTAATAAAAAAACTATTGTCAAACCAAATGAAAATGGAAAACAATATGAAAATACTAAATTTTTTGTGACACCCAATGAATACCAAAATACTGATTTCAATACAACTGATAGAAAATTAACCAAAAAGAAAACACCAAATTTACACAAAAAAATGCAAAATCCGAAACCTAATCAAGAAAACCAAGATCCATATGAAAATACTGAATTTCATAGACCAATCCGTTTGACAAAACAGAAATCAATTGAGGAATTAGAAAATGTTAGTCCGGACACATCAGCTATAGCAACTACAATGCAAAGCACACAGTCTGGCAGTCAAGCAAGTACCCCGACACTCGATAATGTAAAATTCAGTGCAACAGTCAACCGTAGAAAATCTAAATCAGAAAACAGTTTCAAATCGAAAATACGAAAAAGTCTCACAAGTCATCAAAACGTTGAAAATAAGAACGGCCATAATAGCACGACAAGAAGCACTTTTTATATTTCGGACTCAGTAGATTTGGATTCGGGAATTTTTGAGAAAACACATTCTAGTTCAAATCAAACCTTAACAGATTCTAATCAACAACATGAATTAACGCCAAATAAAAACGATAACTCACAACCTGTTTCTAATTCTATAGCACCAACAACACTTGGTCGAAAAAATAAAAAAAGTAATAAGAGCAGTCCAGATTTACAACGTCGTAGAACAACAATAGGTATCCGTCCAAATAATCCTCCTCCACCTCCACCAGTTGATAAGAAAAATAGCAATAAACGCCCTCAGACATCATGGTATGCAGAATGTGGTGTATTTAAAGCAAATGGATTGTCAACCGAAAATAATTTTAAGGATCAAAATCGTAATGAGAGAAGCAATAATACTTCTTGGTATGCTGAAGCGGGTCTTTATCAAACAAGTGGAGCATCTGTAGCTAGTTCAAGTGGAAGCTCCGGTGTTTCTACTGGCGGCGAAAACTGTCCGTTCGATGATAATAATTCGCACAGTATGTTCTTAAATGAGCCTCTATATCAAATATATTCGGCTGAAAAGCTTGAGGTAAATTATAAAATTAATAAAATAAAAATTAAATAATCATACACGTAGATTTTCATTTAATATAATATTAATTATGAAAAATTTAGTCAATATCCCGAGATATGGAAGATCATGAATCAACTGACGGTTATGAAGAAATTAGCACGCAACATAAAAAGCCTCCCAGACCTTCAGCTCTTCAATTAGTAGGCCCTAAGTGTGGCCCTTCAAGAACGTTATGGAGTGAAATTCCAGAAGTAGTGAATTCACAAATATTATGTAAGTTGATTTTAATATAAATAAAGTAAATTTAATTGCCTGTTTTTTAGCAACTTTAACTTCACAAGAAAAAAGACTACAAGAAGCAAAATTTGAAATTTTAACTTCTGAAGCTAGCTATCTAAAATCACTTAATCTTTTGAGAACGCATTTTATGAATCACCCCGCCTTCCGAGATGCAAATATATTGAATCCATCTGATAGAAAAACTTTATTTTCTTATTTAGTACCAGTACATGAATGTTCAGATCGTTTACTTTGTGATTTAGAAAGTTGTTGGCAAGACAATATTATGTTAATAGGATTAAGTCGCAGCATATTCAAGAATGCCGAAAAATATTTTCATGTTTATATTTCGTTTTGTGAACACCAAGGTAAAATGGACAGAACATTAAGAAGATTAAAAGAACAGAAAAGTGCTTTTAATCAAATTCTTGATACTCTTGAAAAAGATCCAGTATGCTATGGATTAAACCTACATTCATTTTTAATGTTACCAATGCAAAGAATTACAAGATTACCGTTATTAATTGATGCCGTATTTAGTAAAGTTAAAACCGATGATAGTGAATATGAAAGTTGGAAAATGACATTAGCAATATTAAACAAAATCGTTTTACAATGTAATGAGGCAGCAAATCGTTGCGAACAAGCATATGAAATAGAGAGAATCTCAAAACAAATTGAATTTCCAGCTACATTAAGGTCATTTCCAATAGCACCAGTTGGGGTTTTAGCACCTGGAAGCAAGCCTAGATTTTTAGTTAAGCGTGGTGAATTTGTACATTTGATATGGAGGGGAGATGACGCCAAACTAACCTTCGGAAAAAAATTTTCCAAAACAAATATATATGCATTTTTATTTACTGATTTACTTATCTTAACAAAGAAAAAATCAGATGAGCAATTCACAGTTTTTGATTATTGCCCCAGAAATATGGTAACACTCGCAGTTGGAGATTCAATACCTCATTTACCAATAAAAGATGCTAATCAAATTGGAAAAAATTTAATACTTTTAACACTACTTGAAAATCACGAAGGCAAAACTATTGAAATGGTATTAGTTAATTAAAAAAATATATGTTTTTTTATTTAAAATTTTTCATTTTAGATAATTTCTTGTCCTTCTGTATCAGAACAACAACGTTGGTTAGAAGCATGTACTCCACCAGAACCAGAATCACCTGGTGAAAAACTTTATGAGCAATGGGACTGTCCACAAGTAATTACTAAACATGAATACATCGCGACTGAACCAGATTTATTAAGTTTAGAACCAGGAGATGTAGTTAACGTAACCAGAAAGATGCCAGATGGTAATATTGAAATTGAGATAATAGTTTGAAAAAAAAAAAAAAATCCATCATAGTAGCAAATCAAAATCTAAAAAAAAAAAAACATAAAATCGCAAAAAGCATCTTATGTAAATGTTAAAATAATAATTAAAATTTATTTTATGTCTAAAACAAGTTATTTCGCCTATAACTATAGATTTTTGATTCAATATTTTATAAAGATGTTTATCGATGTGTCTATTATGTACATTCATATAAAATCGATAAACGTTATTGAACTTCTTTTTCTAAGGTTGGTTTATATCGTTTTCTTAAAAATCATCATTTGTATCGCTTTTTATAAATATTATTATTAAAATAATTGAAAATTACATATCTGTAATATACGCTTGCATACAAACACGTACATTTTGAATAATTTTTTAACCATTTCCTTTCATTCAAATTGAATTCATTTTTAAAAAAAAGCAAAATTGGATACAAAAATTGACATTAAATTTCTTTAAAATATTTTTATTTTAAAAAACCTACACAATTATTAAAGTAAAATATTGCTATATTTAGAATTATTAAATTGTAAAAAATAAATTATATTAGAATTTAAAATATTAATTTAATACAAAACTTTTAATTGAACGTTTTAAATACAAATTTAGCACAAATTATGATAAATAATAAATAATTGAAAATTATTTAAAATATGTATTAAAGGAGAACTTATGAATATGTACATACATATGTTCATTTAAAATTCAAAATGAAAATTGTATCATGAAAAAAAAAAAAAAAAATTATTAAATGTTCATAGAAATATTTTTATATTCAAGTCTAAAATTGAAAGTATAAAAAAAGTTGAAAATGATAAGAAACTCTTAACTTTATTACTTCTTTTTAAAGAAGGTGAATTTGATTCATCAATTTTTAATAAAACAAACCGCGTATTCAGTTCTACTCATATATTATGTTTTGTATTATATTATATTTTTGTATAAATTATATATTTTTTTTTAGTTTTCAAAAAATATGTAAATTTCTAATCAAAATTTAACAAACGCATATGTAAATTGGCTTCTTGTACAATCAATTTAAAAAAATTGCAAAATCCTTTTTAGAATTTTAATTCAAAACAAAAAAGGATTAATAAAAAAATTTCCATAATTACATTTTATTTGAATTAAATAAACAATTAATAAATTAATATTATTTAAATAATTATTTACTTTGAAAATTCAAAACTCTTTTTATGTAGGCTGGTTTCAAGGAGAAAGGATTCGAGATGGTGTTACAGGATGGTTTCCAGGACATTATACAGAAGAAGTAAATTCACCTCATGTTCGCGCAAGAAATTTAAAACAACGACACAGGCTGCTTACATTTACAGCTGCATACTTAGAAATGCAGAAAAAGAAATGAAATCTTTAAATTTAAATTGCAAAATTTTTAAAGTTAGTGCTAACCCAAACAATATTATAATTATCGAACGATTACATATTTGTGATAAATTTGAATTACTAGGTATAATTTTAGTTTAAAAAAATGTAAAAATACAAGTAAAAACTCTTATACAATACATATAATTTATTTTAAAAGTCATGTACAGATATAAAATTTACCTCAGGTTACAAAAAATATATTTATAAAAACGTTATAAGGATTTGTAAATTGTATATGTATATACAAATTTAGAATATTTAATGAACTTTAAATTAATTATAAATTTTAGAATTTATTAAAAAACTTAAAAAATAACTTCATGTATTTATTTTGTAAATTTTTAAATCATAATGTTATATCTTCTACTTTTCCAAATTCTAATTAATTTTGGAATATATTTAAAGAAAATTTAGGAGAAACATTGAAAATCTATATAATGTTGTTACAGAAATTGTTGAATTTATTAAATATTTCGAAGTAGATCAATAATAAAATTATTCAAATGTTCAGTTTTTTTACTAAATTATTGTTAACCTGTTTTAGGGCATATTAATTATTGATTTTTTATACCATTCCCGAATTTTGGCAAAAAATGTTTCTAAATTCTTTATTTTGGAAGAGAGAGTGGAGGTTAATAAATAACAGAGGATTTATGATCGTTCAATTTTAAATTCGGTTTTTAATATAAACCACCGTTCGTTAAATCCAAACTACAAAGTCTGTAAAAAAAGCATGTTCGAAAACTGCAGTTCTAAAGTAACTTTCAAATTTTTTTATAACTGCTACAAAAACACATTATAAATTAGAAAAGCATAATAGAAAAATGTTGATTTTAAAGAATTACTCGAGCATATTACAAATCTGCAAAAGTAAAATATGGATTCAGTTTCTGCAGCTTACTAAAAATTAATTTAGAATTTTCAGTGCTTGTCTGAAATATTGAAAGTCCCCATTGACTAAAGAGTAAAACATGAGTTATCATCAACTCTATCATGAATTCCACTTGTACAATCCTACGAATTATGAGCATAACTACGACGTAGACTTTTGAATGATCGCAAATTCCTTTTGTAGATTGTTAATCACCAATGGCAGTATCATTTTTCGGAGTGTCAAAATCAGTACATACAATTTTATTTCAACTATCAAATGTTTGTTTATATTTTTGGTTACTATTTCAGTAAACAATCCTTCAATAAAATATCCTTCTGTACGAAAGTTTTGCAGCTTTTTTAGTTTTTGAATATTTTTGAAAAGAGGAAAAAATTTTTGGCAATATGAATTTATTTCCTATCAGGGTAGCTGGGTTAGAGTAATTCAAATTCAAACAAAAAAATTCAAATTTTGAAAATTTAATACTACTATTCTCTTAAAATAGCTTGTTACGAGTTACCTTTTCTTTCATAGAGTTTTGAGGGTAATTTTTACTACAAACGTAATTTATGATTACTCCCTTACGAATATTCGGAGCAGAATTTTAACAATTCGTAATTGATAATAATATTTGTAATTTGCCGAATTCCAAAGCTATGAACAAAATGATAGGATTGCTTATTTCTTTAAAAAATTTAAATTACTGCAGGAAAGATAAAAAATAGGGCAAAAACCTGGCAAAGTTAATTTTAAGTAAACGGATAATACTTTATAAGCAAAAATTATTAAATACATATGTTCGTACATTTCTAAAATATAAATTATTCAATTTCTCAAAACTTGATATTAAAAATTTGAGGAACATTCGCATAACCGACCCAGTAACCCAGTTAACTGAATTAGAGTGTTAAGCCCATCAACTACTTTCATATGTGTTATACCTATTTCTCTTATGAAAGCCAATTTCATTTTTTCATCCATTGTCATCTTCTTACATACTTTAAATATGTTTCCGATAATATCTTCTGCAGCATAACCTAATTTCCATAGCTTTGACAATATTTTGTAGGCCTTATGGATATCGTTTTCAATACATCTTTCTAACATATCTTGTACCAGCAAGGGATGAGGTTCGTCACAAACTTTAAATACATTTTCTCCTGTAATAACACCATAACCATTGGCTGTTGATTGCAAGTTATTTAATGCTTGTCGCATATCGCCTTGTGCAGTAAATACAACAGCTTCTAGACCATCCTCTTCGTATGATAGATTTTCTTTTTGGCAAACTTCTATTAATTTGGCTAACACCTGTGCATCAGATAACTTAGAAAAACGTAACATAGCACAACGGGACTGTATAGGTTCTATAATTTTTTCACTGGTATTACAAGCTAATGCAAATCTTGTTGTGTTACTGTAAATTTCCATTGTTCTTCTCAAAGCCTGCTGTGCACCTTCAGTCATGCTATCTGATTCATCTAAAATTACAATTTTATGTCGTCCACGAGGTAATGTAACTTTTTGTTGCGCAAACATTTTGATTTTGTTTCTAACCACATCAATACCTCGCTCATTTGAGGCGTTTAGTTCTAATACAGCATCCTTGTAGCTTTCACCTAAAAGAATCCGTGCCAAACATTGAATTGTAGTAGTTTTGCCTACCCCTGGAGGCCCCTTTAAAATTTATTGTTAATATTATGTATTTGGAGTATATATACTATTAATTATATTACAGTTATAATTATGTTAGGTGCATTTCCATTCGTAGCAAATACTGCTAGCCTGCTAACTGTGTCCTCATTACCGACAATTTCATCAAATTTTGTAGGGCGATACTTTTCGATCCTAAAAGATTTTTTAATGACACAATAAGTAAAATTTAATTTGATTTACTATACCATGGGAGATTTTTCTTTTTATTTTCAACATCAGCTGATATATGAACATTCCCATTGGCTGCAGACGTTGATGTTGATGTACCTTCTCCAGGATCCATCGGCATTTTCACACAACTAAATAAATTTTTAAAATAATCTTCGCTGTTCAGGGTTCGCGCTCAAAATCTTTTTCCTAATTTTTGTTTTTATTAACTTGACAGCTGACATTACCATTTGACATTTTACAAACCTGACATCCCATTTACGGCGTTGCCATCGTATTCTAAAAAATAATTTAGTAGTTAATCCATGGAGCTATTAATACATGGATAGCCAGCAAAATAGAAAATGGATAACAATTTTTGAAAGAACAGTATGAAAATTATGTGAATAATTTTTTCAAAAAAAATTTGTAACTTTACAACATATAAATACAAACATATTTTTATTTTATACATACATAATTATTTTTTTCAAAATTAAAACAAATTATGTTTACTTAATATTTCTGTATATTATTATGCTAACGTGTATTACATTAAATTATTGACAGGAAAACAAACCAATTCTTGATAGATGTTAGCGAATATTTTTTTTCTAAAATTAATGTTAAGTGTTTTCCTTCATAATAAAGCTATTCATCCTTTAACGAAAATAGCTCTTCCAGTATTAATTATTAACTGGATTTTCTTAATCTCTTTAATACTTTATTTAATACTTATCACTACGAGAGCTTATACTATAATAATTCTTTATTTCAATTATGTTTCAAATGCACTAATGCATTTTGAAGCTTTAAAATTAAATGAAAGGTATAAAAAAACAAACTTACTGTGCATGATGTAATATAAAACGCTTTAAAAAAACTATAATTTTTATACATTAATTGGCTTTACCAGTTATAATTTTAGCCAATTTCATGATTTTATTACAAAATAAAATTTCTTCTTAATATCCACAAAAAAATCTAAATTTAAATATCTTTCACTTTTACGAAAACAAAAATTTAAATAATTAAAATAATGGTAAAAATTGCTAAGACATAAAATTTGACATTGTCAATTTGACGTACAGGTACACTACGTTAAATGGGAATGTGCTTATGTTTTTTAATAGGAATCCATATCAAATTGTAACGTCGACAAAACTTTAACATCATGTAGAGTACTATAAGAATATACTAGTGAGCTTTGCTTCTTGAGCGTTATTTTTGCCACCAAAAATTGTTTAGCAGATCACAGTTCGTTTTAATTTTGGCATATTATAATATAATATTAAAATTAAGTAGTAAAACTAAAAATACACCCAAATAGATCAAAAAATGTTGTAATAATACAACATTTTTAACAAATAAAGTTTGTTATATATTTTATTCATTTTTCAAGTGTTAAAAATTCCTAATTTTGACAAGTATCAAATTTTGTTTGGTGAAAACTATATACATACATAATTTAAAACTTATATGTAATGTATTTGTTCTCTATATTTATATGTAATGTATTGTAATCAGCTTAGATATTTTAAAAATAAATTTAAAAAACAAATATTTATTTAGTTCAGGAAATATATATGTATTTGAAGATAAGCGTCTTCTGTTGATACTTTTTTTACGAAAGAACAAAATTCACAACACTGATATTTGTAATTCAAAGTTTGATTAAGATTGTTTATCAGTGTCTTTCAAAGTTTTTATTTTAAATTTCATTACCATAAACGGTTGTTTGACTGTGTCATGGAATCAGAAAACAAGGAGATACGCATAATATTAACTTAAAATAAAAAAATTTGTGAAGAATTAAGGAAGAAGATCAGAATCGGATAATGACTTAAAAATTAAATAAAAAATAAAAATTAAACCAACAAAGACAAAAAAAATAGAAGGAAGAATAATAAAAACGAGGCAGCGGTCTTAACAGAAGTGCATTGCTGACATTTTATTAGATATGCTCCGTACATCTTGCATATGTACATTTACACATGCATATGATGCATATGCATACATATTATATACATATAAGTACAAAGTTAAAGCATCAAAAAATTCAATTTCCAAGCGCTAGTAAAAAGGCCCACTTGAGGGAACAAGTAACCAGAACAAAAAAGAAAACAAAGGCCATAACAGAATAATTGTGATGCAAACCTATCGCTAAACATCCAACGTATGTACTTGTGTACATATATAAATTCCTACTTATTTTCAATTTTGAAGTGCTAATAAAATTGAAAAAATATGGAGGAGCTAAAAGCGAATAAAAACAAGAGCAGATATAAGAAAATAAGTGCGTGATGCAGATATGTCGCTAAATATGCGTACAAACATGTACAGAGATTTGAACTAAAAACGGCTTTTACCGTGTCAGAAGATTTTTAAATAAGCATAATGGTGATATGCAAAAACATGGCCGGAACTAATATTTGTGCATAAAATTGGAGGTAACGGAATTTTTTCATTCACGTAAGTTTCAAATTAATTTGTAGTGTTTTATGTTGTACGTACTGTAATATGTACACAAATACATTTTTATAATTTAGTTAACATATACTTGTAGCTAAAGTAACATAATCGCCTAAAAGCCTGAAATGGTAAAAGAATTAATTTTTATTATTATTAAATTCTTTGAACTTTCTGATTCATTTTATGTAAGTAGGCCTACTTCTTATTTTAACGAGAAAAAATAATGTTGACCTTGTCAAGTCTGATACTTGTACGAAGTTGTTATCCTATGTGCGAATAAATATGCCATAACTAACTATAGGACAGACTATGACTTTAAGTTGCCGTATTACCATATTAATTTATGCCAAATTTCAGTACTATGTGTTTTTCAAAATACTGTGTGTGCCGAACTACTATTAAAGTTAAATGGCAGCTACCAGAAAGAGCCAAGAAATTTTAACGAATTTTATCAAGCACATCGGCCTTACTAATATATTTGCTTGTGTGAAATTTCAATACCACAGCTTTTATAGTTTCTGAGATATAACCAATTAGCTTTTGAAGTTGTACGACAGCTACCAGAAGGAGCTAAGCAATTTCAACGACTTTTATCAAAAACATTGGCCCTACTAATATATTCGTTTGTGTGAAATTTCAATACCACAGCTTTTATAGTTTCTTCGATATAGCCAAATAAATTTTGGAGTTGTATGGCAGCTACCCGAACCGGTACCCCGATCATTTCCAATTTAAATAGGGTTCTGGCACTTACTACAATTAATCATTTGTGAAAATTTGGTGAACTTAGCTCAATTAGTTTTTGAGTTATCGTTCGGACGGAAGGACAGACAAAGCTAAATCAACTCAGAATTTGACGCTGAACAAAAACATACACTTGAGTCTATATCTAACAGCGTTATTTCTTAGCGTCACAAACGGTAAGGCTAATTAAGTATACCCTTCGTACGTTCGTACGGGTTTAAAAATAGACTGCATATATATGTGCAGCGTGCAATGGCAAGCCAATTTGGTATATTTTATGGTAAAATTAAACCCATGGATACAAATCCAATTTTTTATTGGATTTTCTACTTATAGTGCATGAAACTATAATGTCTCAATTAACCGTAGGTACTGAATAGTAATTTTTCTATGTAGGTGGGTTGGTCATAAGGATGCTTATATAATATTAACATATTAAGCAACTAGAAACATTTTCACTTTTATTTGATTTGCATTGATTTTCAAAAAATGATGCACATTCAAAGTATTTCCTAGAGAATAATCGAGAAAAGCTCAAGTAATAGCCCGTAGAAGTCATTAACCTTTTAAAACTTGTATAGAACAAAAAATACTTTCTATTTCATTTTGAAAGAAAAGCTTCTCTTTTTACATATAATCTCATTTCTATACATATAAAATGCAATATATGTATGTACATATCTATGTTTTATGTAATTTATTATCAGTTATACGTATGTATGCATATATTCGTAAAAATTTAATATTAAAAATTAATTAGGATATAAAGAAGTTTTATGTACGGCGCATGATTCCCAAAACATGTGTCGATTTTGTGTGTATAATTCTTGTTGTAAATTTAAGAAGCTGTGAACTTTTGACCTCAAATGCTTGTTTTCTTTTACTTCAACATTTGCCAATATTTATAAAAACATTATTATGAATGTAGGTAGGTATATAATATATACATATTTAGGTACTTAAATATTTTCTTTCTAATTCGACTTACCAGCGGAGGAGCAGTTATAAGCTTCATTCTTTACTTTTGAAATTTTACACATTTACATACTTTAAGGATTGTATACGTTTTTAGGATATGTCGAGATTTATCAACAAAAAAAAATTGAAATTAAAAATGTTAAAACCATTTTCTTTTCCATTAATTTTAATTATAGTGTACATGTAGGCAGTCAGTTTCCTGACAATATTTTATCAAGTGTTTTATCATGAATTTCTCATCGTTTGGTGATATTTATATAAGAACTGATGACATGCTTCAAAATCATTCGCAACATTAGATGATAGAAAGATAAAGGGTTAAACAACATAAGCCTCAATTCATATATGCAACTATTTTGTTATGTTTTTGGTAGGTATTTACCTATCTAATCCTATTTTTATTCTAACTCAGAATCCTAATTAATTTTTTGAAAAAATATGAAAAATTAGATTTCTTTAAAGTATGTGCTATATATTAAGGATTTGTTAATTAATATTTATAATGTCATTAATTTTCCATATTTAAAGTTTCGTATAAGAAATGCGCTCATACAAAACAGCAAATGGAACAAAAATATTTGCCTTTAAGAAACGTTTGTTAATAATTTCATTAACTAAGGCGCTTGTGTTTCATAGAAATAAAAATTTATTCAATGTTGTCTTATACGCAATTCAACTATATAATTTACACTAGTTCTTTTTTAATAAAAACTCGTCTTTATGATTGAGACAATTCTTTTCCACTTTCATATAATCATTGCTTCCAATCTCAATGATGATAAAATGTAATATAACTCTGATTTATGTAAAAAAATTAAAAATTATGTAAATTATAAAAGAAAATTGAACGAAAATTTTGCTGTTTTTTCATTGTACCAACACAAGAGAGAAATGCTAAATGCTGAATGCTTTCTATTATAACAGTAAGCTTTTTGAATTTCCCAATTTTGATGTAGGTTAAGGTTTTTCGTAAATTGTAATACACATTTTGAAAAAGTATATGTATGCACATAC